AAGTAGGTCAGTAGGTCAGCTCCTTAGACCCTCTCTAGAGAAAGAGAAGATGTGAGATTGCCTATGTTGTGCTTCATATGGTTACTCCTTATGAGGACACTGCAAGGCAGTGATTTCAGGAGGGTGGGAGAACCGGGAGACAAGGGAATTGGCCATTCTTGCTGCAGCCGCAGTCGGAGCCTTCAAAGGACACTACGTTTGTACTTCCTTTGCTAATCACCTTGGAAATTGCCTATTATCTGCTTTAAAGAAGTTAGACACCTTCAAAATGACAAGACTGGAAATACCGGGTGAATACTTTCAATCCTTAATATAAGAAAATGAAAATGTATCTTTATAAGCTTTAAGAATTCAAAATAAACAGCAAAAAGCAAGACAAGGTTTTGGTTATAGAAAGTTTTAAACAGATTAAGGGCTCAGAAAAAGTTAGAATATTTGATTTTGAATATTAAGACTTTGAAGTTAATTTTAAAGAATAAATTCAGTTTCATGGAAAAAAATATTATTTTCAATATTGGAGACATAACAAGATATGCAACTTATAATGGCATTCAGAGATATTGTTGAGGAATGGCAATGGGACTTTGAAACAACATTGTCAGCTATATTGTGTGTTTTTATGAATACCCTGTTCCAGAAGAAGTTGTTACACCAGAAGATGACATGATTATGGAGAACATGAATAAGAATTTATCACTGGATATTAAAAAAAAAATCAAATGAGGGTCTAAAAATTAAGAAAGAAATAAAAATGCCAATTCAAGAGAGTAATTGGAATAATTTCTTCCTGCTGGACTTACAAAAGAGGCTTGTTTTGAAGTTTTGAAGAAATTCAAGACCAGGGATAATGATCATTCAAATGGATTCAAGAGCAAGATCATTTTATGTAAAAAGAAGGAATATAATGTTGGCTTATTTGATCAGGGTTCAAATGGGATATGTTGTTATTTTGGGGGATTCTTTCTGGACTTGCTGACATCTGGATTGGAAAAGACATTGTGTGCATTTACTTACAGTTAAGAGTTGAGATATGGAATGATGAGTTTTATATTTGTTAATGAATGTGATTATTTTAGGGCTTTGTTTGGACTTTTTGCTGACACCTGGATTGAAAAAGACATTTACTGGACTTGCCTATAGTTAAGAACTGAGTTACGGGATCAAAAACTTTATATTTGTTAAATAAGGGGAGGTGAAATGGTTTATACTTGTCATCATGAGGGTGGGAAGTCACTCTATTAGGTTTTTTTTTCTTTTTCTTTTCTTTTCTTTTCCTTTCTCTTTCAACTTTTACCTTCTTTTTTTGCTTTTTTGCACCTTTTATTATTTCTGTTTTTCTTTTTAGTTTGTATTATCTTTTATTATTGTAGTTAAAACTTTTAACGAAAATATTATTTAAAAAATGATAAAGAACTTTGTCCAAGGCTTTTTGAAAATCCAAGTTCACATTGTTGACAGGGTTAACTGCAACATTTCTGTTGATGTTTTCAAAAAACAAAACGAAACTCATCCTTGAAAAGGTTGGTAAGGCAGGATTTACTTTTGCAGAATCCACGCTGCTGTTCTTTCAGCAAGACTTATTGCTCTTTATGTCTAATGTTTTTTTTCTTCTTTGAGTACCAGTTCTACCCCTTTGTCTGGAACAAACACCAAGCTGTCTGGCTCATAATTACCTGGATTCCCTTGGATCTCCTTTGAAATGAATATAACATTTCTCACAAAGCTCTCCATATAATGAAAATTCAGGGAGGAGGGAGGATAGGAAAGCTGTAGCTTTGAAACTGAAAGTTATTCTAACCAGAATGAGGGGATTCACAAGTACTTTCTAACTGCAATGGGGGTGGGGGTGGGGAAGGGATGTTGAACCAATGTATTACATAACTGTTCCATTAAGTAGTATTCTTTGAGATTTTTTTCTAGGAGCAGAAATGTTAAAAGTATGTTGATGGAGTCAGATGAATGAAAATTGTACAATTTTTGTTGTTGCTGTTGCAAGAACAAAAGCTAAAGTATGTAAAACATTATGAAACTTTACATGCTTCATCCTGAATAGAATATTGTATGTGGAGGATGCTTTGAAAGAAGATGTGAAAGGCATTTCCAGGGCATTTTTAAAACAAATTCTGTTTTCCCTTTTGTGGTTGTTTTGCGATATACTTTGTTGTGTACCTGCATTATATATACCTCAATGCAAAACCCAACACGATTAGATAAAACGTTTGTCTTGTTCCATATATTCTTTCAGAAGAACAAGGCAATTTCTTCTGTCTCTTTATAGCTGAGGAAAACATCTAGATCATCACTGGGTTGCATACAAAACTAGGAGATGGGGTGGATCTGAAGGGCAGTTGTCGTTCAGTTCTTTCTGCCCCAATGGAATAACTTCTCCAGGAGTGTCTATCAGTAGCAGTTTCACTGAGCGCTTGTGAGCTTGTTTTGTTTATTTATTTCCTTTTTATAATTGAAAAGAAGAAGAAAAAGAAAAAACATATAGAAAGTGCTTTAACAGAAAAGTGAAAGAAATACGACAAAGGGGGGAAAAAACATGTTCATATGTCATTGTAAGCTTATGCTTGTGAGAGTATCTAGCCACTTTGTCTTCTGTCAGCCTTTCTTTCAACTGCTTTCAATTTTCCAAGCATCAGCGTCTTTTCAATATCTCTTGACTTCACATTATATGTACAAAATAGTTGAGCTTTAGTTTTGCTATTAGTGCTTCCAGTGAGTTGTCTGTTTTCTTTTATCTAGTACTGAATTTTTGTTTTTCATGCTGTTATTCTCAACCATTTTCTTCAGCACCACAATTCAAACACATCATTTTTTTTTGTTCAGGCTTTCTGATGATCCAATTTTCACAGCTATATATTATAACTGATAAAATCATAGCCTTGACAATACATATTGTTGTTGTCAGTATGATGTCGTTGCACTTTAATATTTTGTTTAGATCAATCATAGACTTTTTTTCCATGAAGCAGATGATTCTTTTTCATGGCCACAGACACCATCCCCCTGTGAACTTTTAAGCCTAGCAAAATAAAGTTTAGGAATATTCTTCCATTTTTGCTCTGTCCCTTGTACTGGGTCGACATTTCTTCTTGACAAAATCTTAATTATTTTTTAATACTGAGCAGCAGACCAGCTTTTGTACTTGCTTCTTTCACCTTCAACAAAAAATTCCTTGAGTCTTCCTCATTCCTAGGTATCATTGTGGTATCATTAACATTAATTTCAATTTCAGTTCTTCCTAATCCAGCATTTTGATATATTTTGCATATAAGTTAAATAAATGTGATTATATGCAGATTGTCAGGCCCAGCCCAAGAATAACAACGAGGCAGTCTGGTCCAGTATGGTTCCTTTATTAGCTTGCACCTAATAGACAGAATCTCACCAGACTAAACCTATGCTAAAGCAACTAGTGGATATACCCTGTGAGACTCGAGGGAGGGGCTAGTCTCAGCTTCTTCATCTCACGGTTCTGCTGCAGGCCGAGGAAGCACTTGCCCTATAACCTCTCCAGGAATGCGCCCCCTCCATCCTGATAACCTTGATCCTCCATTCCAGTATCGTCCTTACACATGCCTTCCATTACACAGATTGATGCAATCCTTTCCCAATTTTGAACACATTACTTGCTCCATAGCCTATTTTAATAGTTGCTTCCTAGCCATTACAGGTAATCCTCAACTTACGACCACAATTGGGATTGGAACTTCAAGTGCTAAGTGACGTGGTAGTTATGTGAATCATGCCCAATTTTATGACCTTTTTTGCAGTTTAGTGAATTACTGCAGTAGCTAGGAAATCATGCAGTCATTAAGTGAATCCGGCTTCCCACACAGACTTTGCTTGTTGGAAGCCCTTGGGAAGGTTACAAATGGTGACCATGTGACACTGGGATGCTGCAACCATTGTAGATACCTGCTGATTGCCAAGCGCCTGAATTTTGATCATGTGATCATGGAGATGCTGCAATAGTCATAAGTGTGAGGACCAGTCATAAGTCACTTTTTTCAGCACTGTTGTAACTTTCAATGGTTGTTAAATGAATGGTCGTAAGTTGAGGACTACCTGTATACAAATTCTTCGACAAGTGGCCAGGTATGCCCACATTTCTAAGGGGTACTTACAATGTGTTGTGGTCTGTACATTCCAAAGCCTTTGTATAAGCAATAAAGGAAAAATAGGCATCTTTCTGAAGCTTCCTTGAGTTTCCCATTATCCACTGAAAGTTAGTAGTGTGATATTTGAAGCCCCTGCCTGTTTCACTCCAGCTTGTACAACTGCCTGTTTTGGTTCCATTTGTTGCTGAGATCTGGATTGTAAAACCTCGAGCATTTCTTGGTTTCTAGGCCAGTTCCTTAACCACTACACCAAACTGGCTCTCTGTAGTTCCTGCAGTTTTGTTGTTAGCAATATTTTATAGGGCCCATTTAATAACACTTTTAGAATATCTGGGTCTAGTTCAGTGATTTAGAACTTCCTCTACTGCTTTTGGGGAACTTGTGATCCCTATTAGTAAAAATCACCTAGAGGCAGTTCAGAATTCATCCCAAAATAATGTACATCTCTAACATCATCACTATTAAGATTAATGGACTGTTAGCCTTGAATTGGTCTAATTATAATTAAATTTTACATGTGACTTATCATCACAATAATGCTACCTTTCTATACTATATCATTAGTTGGATCAGGTTGCTTTTAAGTATATGGTAAGGTTATTGGCAAATCACCTCCATCAAGGTAAAAGCTTGTCTTTTTCTGCATCAGAATTAATACAGCAGATAATATTACATGACTAGTACAGAATCTATACATCACTCCAGAAATTAATACACTTTAAGTCATAATTTTATAAGGTCCATACGTAAATGATACAGAGATTTTTATCTGACAAAATTCTTTATGATCCTACGTATCTTGTTTAATTTGGATAAATATTTGGCACTAAATGCATGTAATTTTCATTCAACATTTTTTACTTTCTTTCCTAGTTGGTTATACAATGAATGATCTTGTATTTGAATGGCAAGAAAATGGTGCTGTACAAGTAGCTGAAGGACTCACTTTGCCACAGTTTTTGTTGAAGGAAGATAAAGATCTTTGTTACTGCACCAAATTCTACAATACGGGTGAGAAAACTATTCAATGTTTTGACAAATGAAAGAACATTTGTAGCTCTTTGTTCTCCAACAATATATTCAAACATGTATGTAATCACAGGGCAGTAATGATTCTTGGCCAGGGAATATTTACATGTAAGAGAAGAGTTTCATAATAGGCATCATGGTTGTCACATAATGTTGTGATAACATTAACTATGAAATATTAGACCATACACAATCCAGTATTGTGAAATAAATAAACTCAAGGCATAATTTTTTGTTTGTGAAAATTGTAGAAATTAGAGAATTTGCATGAATACAAACAAAATTAGGCAAAACATTATAGGTTGCATTCTTGAGAGTCCTGTTTTATAGTATTTTGAAGGTTTTGTCCTCAGTTTCAAATACATTATTCTTTTTACTGGGACACTTTCATTTATTTATTTTTTAATTTGCTACCTCCAGAGTCAGGGACTTTAAAGATGATCATAATGTGTAAATAACAATATTTTTAAACCACAGAGAATGCTGATTCAGGAAAAGAGCTTTCTAACTTCTATGTCATTATGATGCAGTAATGATTCTGCTGCTGCTCCCTTATTGGCTTATTTTTCATATAAAAATGGTTTAGATCTGGACTGCTACTGGATATTTATCAAAACAGGAAATCAAGCATCTTTATGTTCACTGGGAACAGCTGTGCTTTTCCCACTGTTGATTAAAGAAAATGATCATAATGTAATAAATAGGAATAGTCACATGTTGATTAGTGTCCTGATTTCAAAGAAACTCACCAAATTTTTGAATTATATTTTGCATGTATTTTTGCATTCCTCTTGTTTGTTGTTAGCATCAACCCTACAACCCTACAGAGGAAAGTGAGTTTTAGGCAGCCAATTATTAATTATTAACATTATTACTGAAGTGGATCCATCCTTAATTATGTTTACAATAAACCCCTTAAAAATAATGTTATTTGATTTAAAGTCATTTAAATGGATACATTCTATGTAAAATTAAATCTGGAACCATCCTGGAAATACTTGTAGGATATTCTGCCTCATATGCCTAACTTTGGGTACTGTGTAGAATTTAGATATAGTCAGGTTGCTTACACAGAGTTTGATCATTATAACCATGCAATTTGACAGTTATAAGCATGCTATTCCAAGCAAAAATGGCTTAATCACATTGACTGAAATTCACAAGCAGGTCATTAAAAGCTCTTTCTTTTTTCTTCCAGGATTCTGAATGAGAACTATAGGAGTTGTAGAGTAGAGATACAATGAATGAATGAATGAATGAATGAATGAATGAATGAATGAATGAACAATTAGCGAAGAATGTTATAATACATTACAAGCAAAACATAGTTAACGTTATTCTGTCATTGTATCAAATGCATCTGATAAAGAAATATGTCTGGTTCCTCTAACAGTTCTTTTCTATTATAACTAGGCAAATTTACCTGCATTGAAGTTCGATTCCATCTGGAAAGGCAGATGGGTTATTATCTCATTCAAATGTATATTCCCAGTCTCTTGATTGTCATACTGTCATGGGTGTCATTCTGGATCAATATGGATGCAGCTCCAGCCAGAGTGGCCCTAGGTATAACAACTGTACTTACAATGACAACACAGAGTTCGGGATCACGAGCTTCACTCCCAAAGGTAAGCACATCTGAATGCTTCCTTTTTGGTTGATTATGGAGAATTGTCTCTCACACATAGCCATCAAAACTGTTCTTCTTACATTCTAATAGCTATATTGAAATTAATTGGATATGGAAAGGTAAAAGAAGCTATTGTCATCTTACAAGATATATATATTTTTCTAAAAAAGGCATATTATTGCTGCAAGTTTTATGATACCGTATGGATTACTATTTACTTTTGTAATATGGCTCTGTGTGTCCTTCTGTAATCTTAGCTATTATTGAGAAGTAGCATTAGTCAAGCCATTTCATATCCATTGCCATAAGAAAAGTAAGTTGTTACTAAAAAAAAGTAAATAAATAAATTGTAAATAAATAAATAAAATTTCATTTTTATAGAGAACATATTGTGGCAATTATGTCAACTTGATTTGTATATCTGATCATTCTTGTACTGTGTTGAATGATGCAAGACATAAAGCATCATAAACGGAGTACCACGTATTCAGTTACTCAGGTCAAAGTTTGTTCCCTTGTACTATGAATAAACTGTGGTGATTACTTCAGGTGATCTAACATATTTCTGCTTAATATGGAATGTCATGGTAAAGTCTAAAGATACTGCTCTGAGTGTAAAAGGCCTTTCCAACAATGTTGCTTTTAAGATGTATACATTTTTCTCTTTTACCCTTCTAATGTAGCTAACTCTGACTATGATTTGGGCACATCTTCTTCCCTTGAGATTTGGAGACATTACACGTCCTATCTATGTTTTTACACCAGCAATCTTCTACTCTGTACTATTTATAGGTATCATATGTCAAGGCTATTGACATCTGGATGGCTGTTTGCTTGCTTTTTGTGTTCTCGGCACTTCTGGAATATGCAGCTGTAAATTTTGTGTCAAGACAACATAAAGAACTTTTGAGATTTCACCGAAAGAGGAAGAAGAATAAGGTATATATGACAAGCACACATTAGAGAAATATAAGCAGCCAGAAAATTCTGACAGTTTTATAACAATGGTAGATTTTTCTAAAGTGATTTGTATAAACAATGTGTTGATCTAGAATGACTTTTGGATAAGGTCAGCACAAAGCATATGTAATCCACAAATTCCTGTGATGTCTTCAAAGTAAGTATTTTAAGTGAAAAGTCTTGCAGACGTTTCTGCAGAATTTAACGTCATCAAAATACTAACAGATTGCTTTGTTATGGAAACTGATGATTTGAGATATTTTAACATTATTTCCAAAATTATCACATGGAAGAAAAATAATAAATACGTCTAGCTTTTTAAATGAAAAGAAAAAGCAACCTTACTTCACAATGCATTTCTATTTTTATGTGGGGGAGAGGCAAGAGGTTTTTTTCAGATCAAATAGATGCTGCAAGCATGCAAGGTACAAGCGTTCAGATTACATATTCAAAACTATTTATTTTTTTATAACTCAGAATTCATTTTAAACAGTGGTGCAATAAATTGAAGATAAATCTATGTGCTGTTGACAAAATAACAATGGGATAGCAGTAGGCAAAATATCAAAGAATATAATTGTAAAATGGGAATTATAAGTGCCATGGTTGATCTTATGGCAACTGGGGGCAGAGGATATGCAAGGGGAAATAATGTGTGGATGTAGAAGGTTTTTCCACATTAAAGCATATTTTTTTTTGATTCTGTGGTAAGTACCTTAACGGAAGGAAGGGCTAGAGAATTCATTTTATCCTAAAACAATATCTACAATCCTTATGCATTAAATAACTATGAGATTTCTGCATACTTCTGCATGGCTTATAAATTCTTAGAATGGAGATGTCAAAATAAGCAAGGATTATATCTGGATTATAAAGTGCCAAAGTCAAGCGGCAGCAATGCCTATGTATGGATGATGCTTTTTTGAAATTCTAAATCATATTTTTTTCTCAGACTGAGCTCATTACATGACACGGATACAGATTATTTATGCCTCATACTGTATTACTTCATATTTGAAGTACTGAATACAGTTAAACCCATTTTCCTTCTGCGCATACAACTACTGGATTTACAGTCTATTAAATATTAAATCACAGCAATAAAAAGGCTCTTCAATATTTACAGATTGTTGGCTGATTTAAAGAGCTTGCAGATTTGAAAGAATATGTGTAGTTTCTTAGTTTACCATGTTCCAACTTGCATGTCTACATCGACAATCTTTTTAAAGAATCAGCATACCCTGGTCTGGTCCCATACTCAATATTCAGAAGGTAATATTTGTCTGTCTGCTATTGCAGTGACCAAACAGGTTCTTCCAGATCACTTCTATGTAAAGGGCACACATATGCTTAACACATTATACACATTAAATCAAAATGATTTAATATGGCCTGATTCATTTATAACCATTCCTCATCTTTACAACATGTGGATCCCTCAATGGTGACTGGTGATTGTGAGGTAGATTTTAACATTTTCACCAATTGTATCCTACCACTGATACCCTTACCTTAAATATTACTCAAGCAGGTACTGTCAGAGTCTGCACACTCAGTTCCCAAGTCCAGTAAATCCTCTGGAGTCAGTTTGTTTCCAGTAAAGATTTCTTTATTGAGAAGCAGCATACAGGATTCCATAGATTGCTGAGACTAACCCTCCCCATCCAGGGCTCTCCTTTTAACCCCCCTCTATTCTAATTTTCCCGCTTGATTCCTTAGCGCCTCTTCTTTGGTCCCACAGTCATCTGGCCTTGCTGGTGCCTCTCGGGGAGAAAACGCTGCACCTGGCCTCTGTTGTTTATTGTCCATCCTCCCTCTTGACTTTTACGGCAGGAACAAGAAAGCGCATATACAAGTTATGGTTCTTGTCTAAACTAACATTTGTACCTACTAGCAATTTAGCAACTATTTGTCTACATTATAATTTTTCTAATGACTTTCTAATAGCCTTTCGATAGTTGCTTGCGTAGACCCTGACAGGTACTTCAGGATGCTCCCAAATAAAACTTGTGTTTTACTATTATCTTCTTCCAGCAAAGATTTGTCAACTTCCCAGTCTCACATAAAGCTCCAGAATTTATTTTTGGTTTCCATCTAAGTATTACATGAGCCTGACATGCTTAGCATCTAAGCCTAGACAAGACAAGCCATATACTGCTAACTGCAGAAAGAGTAAAGAAATTATTATTGCACTAACTATGGTTAAGAGACCATTATGAATAATAAAAAGCATAATGGCTAAGCAACATCTTCAAATTTAATACAAAACTCACTAAAAAATTTTAGTGAACAGTGCTTGCTATATTATAGCAAGATTGCCATGCCTGCTGGACTGAAGATGATAATAGTCAATATTCTTTGCAGAATTGGAATTTATTGTTCATATAGTCAGGACTATTCTGTGACTTTATGGACAATTGCCTGTTATGAAGTACAGCAAAAGCAGTCCTTCACATGTTTTAAAGGAAAAACAATTTTCAGTTGTATAATAAGCATTCATTTTATTTTTATTTTCTATGTCTGTGAGTCATATCTATTTGTTAGTAACCCGTGGTTTGCTTTTCTGTCTATCCATCCATCCATCCATTTATTCAAAACATTTATTGCTGCCCAACTCAAATAGCACGACTCTGAATGGTATACAAAATCACTAAACAAAAATACAAAAGAAAAACAACATATACAATTATTAGTGTCATGCCCACTTTAAATTTCCTTCCATTGGTTCTGTGGGCTTCAGTAGTTGCAGGAAGCCCATAAAAGTGTTTTGTATGCTTGCTGTTGCTAGCCACACATGTGAATTTCTATATTAAGTTTACGCTATTTTTTTTAATTGGTTTGGCTCCATCTTCAGGTTTTCAAAGCAATTTTCTATATGGCTGTATTCATTTGACTGTGTGATATAAAACATTTTTAATCAATCTCAATTGTGGATAACTCATATATATATGCAAAAATCTCCTAAAAACAGTAGCTCTTTAAGAATATAACATATGTCATGAAGAAATGATATGGCAAACTCTCTGATGTGATGACTTGTCAAAATTAAAATGCAAATTGGCCCATTATTAAACTAGAATCAGAATCATAGTTTGAAATGGGCATTTAGGTGATTGAGTCCTGCTCAGTGCAGGAATCTAAAATAAAACGTCCCCAACAGATGGCTATTTTAGCCTTTTGTGAACACATTCAGTAAAAGGAAACATACCATTTCTCTGGGTAATTGGTTCCACTGACAAATACTTTTTACTATACAGAAGTTTTTTCAAGCACTCAATGGAATCTAGCTTCTTATCATTTAAATAAACTATTATGTATCTTGCACTCTGAAGGAAGACAGAGAGCAAGTCTTGATGGGACATCCTTTTACCCAGGCATTTAAAGAGTCTTATTGCATTGCCCAGGCCCACCCCTAGCCACACCCTTTTCTTTTCAATTTCTGTTCATATGACTTATTTGCTAGTCACCCAACTTCACTGCCTTTTTCTAAACTTGTTCCAGTTTATCTAGACAAAGGTGGAATCTGATCAAAGTGGAATCCAGTAAAACTATCACATCCCATATTTTAGAAACAACACTCCTTTTTAAGCAGCCTACAATAGCATTTAACATTTTTGTAGCCACATCACATACTCTGAGTCATACTCACATTCCAAGACTTTTCCCCCCCATTTAGTGTCTGAGCCAGGTATCAGCCCTTCAAGGCAGACCAGGTCAGGAAACAGAATCAATACTGGAACTCTATTGATACAGTACAGAATCCTGAAAGCCTGATAGCGTTTTCTCTTCTGTCCTTCTTATAAGGAAGAGTCAGTTTCAATTTCCTTCTAATATTTTCTTCCTTTCTCTGCCTTAATTAACATTTTGTTAACTACTCCAAGGTTATCTCTGTAGTTCTCTATACCAAGTATCCCCCTCACTTTCATTTAAACCCTACATAACATATTGGTTAAGGTTTTGGAGTAGGATCTGGGAGGCCAGAAGCAAGCCGGCCTTCAGCATGAGAATTTACTAAGTGACTTTGATCTCTTCTCCAAGTTGTTGTGAGAAAAAAAATGACAGGGGACTGCTATGCAGGCACCTGAGCTCCTAGAGAAAAGGTGGAAATAGAAATCTCGTGAATAAATATAAATTAATAGCAAATAAAAAAATAGACCTCTAGTAGTCCAATTCTAGCACTGTTTTAGATACTCCTCTTCCAATGGAAGAAGCACCTAAACTCTATATTTTGAATGGCTCTTCATAACCTAAAGGAAGAATCAGACTTTTAAAAAGCAGTTCTTTAATAGGTAGGACCGAATCTGCATTTTTGAATCACAGAACTGTGACCCAAATGGAAATAACAGCAGCACGGCAGCTGGTATTATCATTCATTCAGATACAGCTGGTGGGTGGGGAGGGGGAAGAATTGCAGAAAGGGAGGCAAGAAAGTGGCATACAGCCAAAGATGTCTGCAGGATATGGTAAAAAGTCTTACAATGATGGAAGATACACATAAAAAATAGGCAGAGCTTCAATGCACTGTCACAGCCGTCGTCCTCACTTTTTTTAACCACATCCTGCAGACACCCCTGTCTAAAAATTTAGTTTAAATACCATATCTATGTGAAAGGAAAATGATTCTGAATTTAAGATGATCCCATCCCATAAAGGAAGAGCGGACATTCAAAAATAGTATAAAACTATAAAAAATCTTGGGCGATACCCAATATTCATCCTGCTAACTCTGACACCAATTCTTGAGATTCTTTTTCTTAAAAGTGTGCATCTGACACTTAATTTTTTATTGCTTTAGTATACAAAGAGAGAGAGAGAGAGAGAGAGATTGAAAAAAGAATAAGAGGTATTAAAATGTATTGCTCACCGAGAAAATAATTCAGCTCAGTTTTTAAACACATCATAAAACTCTGACCACAGAGGATAATATTGATTAGTCATTCCATTACATCAATACAGAGCCAGTTTCTAATCAGAAAGCAAATACTTATTTTTTAATCCAAGATTGCACATCTGGGATCACATCGTCTTTCTGACAGTGCCATCTTTTCTGCCATGGCTCATGCTCAGTAAATCTGTCATTCTTCAGAGAATGATAAATTCCAAATTTGTGGTATGTAATTCAAAGTATATTCACATTTTTAAACAATATGGACCTTCTTTAACACCATATTAACAAACTTAAGGATATTAAACCAAAATGGGGCACTAAAAGGAGAAGCTCATGTCATATGAGTAAGGGTACACCACCTATTTTCATATGTGACAAACTTGTATATATATCTATGATTATATGTAGGTATATATGTGTATACCTTCCAGAAACGATATATTGATTTGTTGGAAAATAATTGATTTCTCCATCTGCCAATACTAAACATTCTTTCTCACATACAAAATCACTCACATATGTACACAAGTATATATATTTCTCTCTTAAAATCTATTTACTTAAAAAGGAAGTGGGGAAAAAAACAGGTTGGTGATGAAGTAAAGGAAAGGAATAACTGTTCATGGAGAGGGGGAAAAGAGAAATAGGGGAATCTATAAAAGCAAGAGGATAAATAGGAAATAAGAGTAATAGATAACAGGACAGGGACAGGAAAAAAAAATACAGATAAACCCTATTTAGGAGGTTCAAAAGAATTAAATTTAGCAGCCAAGCAGCAGCTAAACTTCAATCTAATATTTAAAGGCATTTCCCACACTTTGCAGCAGCAATGATTTTGTTTTCAATAGCTTCTTTATTTTTTATGAGGGATAGCCATCTTTCCTCAATTATAGAGTATTGTTTAGAAAAAGAAATCTTTTTTTTTTTTTTTAATAAACACAGGGTTTGTTTTTAAATGAAGATGTAAACTTGGCATAAATATTTAGGTTCAAGAATCTCTAGTTAATGTTCATACTTTGTTTCTGTGTCTGTGTATGTTTGGTTTTTTTTACAGGATGAAGATATCAGGGAGAATCGGTTCAGTTTCACGGGCTATTCAATGGGACCACCATGTATACAAGCAAAAGATGGAGTGGTTCCAAAGGGGCCCAATAATCCAGTTCAGTCCGTATCACTTAGTCCTGAAGAAATGAGGAAGGTATTCATTGATCGGGCCAAGAAAATTGATACCATATCCAGAGCCTGTTTCCCTTTAGCCTTTCTTATATTCAACATTTTTTACTGGGTTATCTATAAAATTGTTAGGCATGAGGACATTCACCAAAAACAAGATTAAACTTTTCACTTTTCGACAGTTCTGTTTTTGATTACAGTAGTACAAGTCAGTATCGAAATACTTCTTAGTGCGCAAGAGCTTGGTGGGAAAAACAAAAGAAAAAACAAAATACTTATTTGACTTGCTATGCAAAGTCACAATGATATCGAGGAAAAAAAAAAAAGACATCCAATGAAGATACCGTATAATCTGCCACAGTATTTCTACTTGTTATTAACTTTAGTTTTGCAAAGTAAATGACAATGCTGTTAAGTACAATTTTACTGCCAATCTTTCTACATATTGTTACATAATAATATAGTATTCTTTGAAGTCCTTGTTATAATTTTTAATCCAGCTGTATTTTTTTAATCTATGAAAAGGAAGTTCCCAAAGTCCTTAGATAAGTGCCATATAATCAAGCCTCCTTTAAATTTTATAAGTGAGATCTATTTTGAGCCTTGAGTCTGAAAAATGTTAACTATTTTACGTAATGAAGCTTATTTTCTAGATTTAAGGACACTGCCGATGGCTTTTGTATTAAACACATGATGCATTTTAGATAATACGCTGAAAAAAAGAAGCAGCGTACGAGTACTTCATAATGATGCAATCCACAAATCACTTATTCTGTGAGATTATACTGATGCTTCCATTAATGTGTCAGTCCTACTCTGGAAAAGATAGACTGGCAATTGCCAGCCATATCACAAATATGACTGACAACTGATTTCTGAGGTCAGACTTTTGAGTATATACAAAAAGGTAGGTTGTGTCATTGCATATTGTTCAGCACGATGTTAGCAGTTTAGATCTTCTACTGAAGCTGGGGGCGGCGGGGAGGAGAGAAAGAGAAGACAGCAGCCTTCTGAGAAGATGAGAAGTTGTAAACCTTTTATGTTATCCTAATAAAACCAGTTAAAATGTTATAAATTTTAAAAATGTATTTATTAGTTGGCAGTGCAGCACTTCCAGTTCAGTCCAATGCCTTTCAACAACAATCTTATCACTGCAATTTGTGACATACCTTTGACAAATAAAGTGGCCCTAGTGCAACCTTGTGGCGCTATCTATTGTTGAGGCCAGCTTTACCCCGGCATTCAAATAAGCATTCATAGTAAATAATATTGACCTTAGAATATTAAACATGCTTAAAACTATTCAAATTATAGGTACTTTATAAAGAATTAATTATTTGATATACCTACTTGTAAGAAGTTAATGCCCTTGGAATCAAATAAACTTCTTTTGAGGTAAATACATTTAAAATCAACCTGATCCACCATTCATTGACAAGTCTCATAATAAATACTTAAATACTTTTTGAATAGTTTTTTCCAAGAAAACAATCAGCACATTTCAGGATAACAAAATGTTCCTAACAAATCTGTGCGTATTGGCTGAGAAAAAAGACACAATCTTCTATCCCAAATAGTGTCTGAAGATTACTATGGTACATTTTTAATCCAATATTTTCCATTGAAAATCTAAATAATCTCCATCAAAAGCCAATAGGCTCTTGGTTTGTTTGTTTGTTTGTTTCAATACTGAAACTTAAGTGGATCGACCCTGAACCAATGTTTGTTGGAAACATTAAATCATTTGTTCAATCAAAAACTTTTCTTGGATTAAAAAATATTCTAATGATAGATTTCTGAGATATTTTATATTCTAGATATTGTTTGCTTGTTTACAAAAGCTGAAATTTGGGAAATTGCTTACTACTGTTCAAAATACCACAATACAGGTCTACTTCTGAGAGCAAATTAGTTATTCTTTCATACATCACTACATATTTAAATTATGGAAACCCATTTCCTATATCTAGAGTTGTATAATCCCTTTGATTTATTTTTTTCATGAACTATTATTGATTTGGTAATGGGTTTGTGAAAAAGGAAGACAACTGTACATCTAGAGATGTCTAACAGTCAATGGCTGCTGGCATTTGCAAGGAAACTCCTCCTTCTCCTTCTCTTTAAATCTGAATTCACCAGCCATTCCTCCTAACAATATCCAAAATCTGGAAAGCCTCCAATTCCCCATCCTGTTCTGATCATTCTTTTCTCAAACTATTTCCTGCCTCTTCTAATGTTAAACTTTAAGAATACAAGAACATCCTCATATTATCCTTTTTTGCATAGACATCCATGAGTAAAGCAAGGGGGAGTAAATAATAAAATGAGCATTGTGGGGTCAAAACACAACTTTCCCCCTTTTATACATAAGTCCATATACAACACACATATAAATAAGACAGTTTGTGTCATGACATCATGATGCACATTTTGCCATTCTGGCTTAATCTCTTAATTCAGTGGATGCCTCCTTATTTGCAGATATAAACTAATGTCCTATGTGTAGCGTGGATATTTTTTGGTGGGAGAAGATACACTTCTGAGAAAATAAAAATGTATTCATATGGGTATTCTAATTTACCTTATAAGAGGGAACATTCAAACAAACTTAATTACTCCAGCAAATTAAGATAATGTATTCAGTGGGACAATTGACATGAATAGCTTCTTCAGCACAGAATATTGAACACATATAAGACTGTTTATGTGTTAAATATAAAGTAATAAAAGTTCTATTTTGTGTATAATAAAGAAACCTGTGAGGAAGAAAAAAAAATACTTCCAGTTAAAAAATAATCCCATAAAATGATTGGAATTAATACATTTGATGTTGTTTGTACAAAATTCATACATGTCAATTCATTTATTCTTCCTCTTCTCCTTTGGAAAAATCCTAAAAATCCACACACTGAAAATTGGAGGAGCTTCTCTCTAATTTAGGCAACTAGGCAAACACTTTTCGTCATGTTGACCTTCATTTTGTGAACAGCCACAATGAAAATGAATTTGAAGCTGAAAGTATGTCAGGCAGATTGATAACACAACAGGTGACCTTTGTACTTTTTAATACATGGCTGAAATTCCACTATCTCTTAATGTAGAAATGAGGCTGCAAATATATAAAGTTACTTATGGTTCAGCTCTAACTTCATTCTTTCTAAAGAACTTTGTTTGACATCCTTATACAAGATACCTTGACATGAATAGAGACATCTTGGTCATCTTTTTCTGGAATGTTAGTCTTGATAGGACAAAATAAATTTTGGTGAAAAAAACTGTAGAATTGGTATCTGAATTTGGATCCAGTAACATTTCAAAATGTTGTGAGATTTCGGCCATTTCAATTTTTGATTTTTTAAAAACCTTTTTAAAGTTCCTCTTAATGGTCTGAGGCCTACCATCAGCCACTTCAACAACCCCACTATAGAATTTTTATATTCACATTGATTCTTCCACATGTAATTAGAAGGCTTTATTCACAATGAGAATCTTCTATATATAAAGCTTTCTGCAACTTCTGGCTTTTTAACCAAAGAAGTCAGACAAACATTGTATCAGGGATAGTTGTTGTAACTTATTTCTTCCATATTCATGTCTTGACCTTTCATAAATAGTTTTTCATAAATAGCTTTTCAGTTTGTATAGACCTATCAGTTATATTCTTTGTTTATATTAGTCTTCACTTGCTCAACAAAAAACCATTTCAACTCTGAATTATGATGAAAGGGAATACTCACTGTATGCAAATCTTCAAAAACTAATTTAAATCACAATGTCCTCCCTATTTTGGCTTCTTCATCTATTTAAAACGCACCACCACTACCACAACAGTGAATTTTGGACAGAATCTTAATTCTCATATCTAAAGAAAAGTGTGCTTTAAAATATGGCATATAGAGATCAACACCAGATTGACATTATAAGTGAAAAGTGAGGTTTAATTTAATTTAATTCAGTTTAATTTAAACTGAAAAATAAATTGAGTGCCATTCTACTCACACATGAAAATAGGACAGAGTTGAAAGCAATCTATTTACATACAAGGTTGCCAATAGAAAGTGCAGAGTAATCACTGTGAGATTTCTATTAAAAAATAGAATGGAAAATCCCTAATTTGTGGAAGATTCTTGAGCAGTAATTTGGTAGATACATTCTGCTTCCAGGTGGAGTTGGACAGCCAATAAATATTAATAAATAATAAATAATAGTACTGAGGAAATGGGGAGAGGGAAATATCACCTTATTGATTTCTCCCTGTGTAAATTGATGATGATACCTTGGTAGCATACATTCCTCAGGAAAGAATTAGCCACTTTGACTCAGGACTATATTTCAGTATAGTTTTCAGAGCTACACATCTGATTAAGTGGACTGTGTCCACAAAAACAGGAGATAATAACATTGTTGTCTTTAAGGTACTGCAAAAAGCTGATTATCTCTTTGGAAACCAGACTAACTTTTGTGTCACAGAAGAGCTAGGCATATTGCTAAAACAGGGATTGGTCAGAATTGCAGAGTATAGGATACATTTTATAAGCAGAAGGTCTTGGGCTCAAATGCCAGGATCAATTATTGGAAGGAAGCGAAGATGTCCATGACTTAGATAATAGTTTGAATCTATAAAAGTGAAGGGAACCAGGCAAGTGAACTAAATGTTCATATCAAATCAGGAATTCAGAAGCATGGATCTTGCCTCTTTCTAAGTGGATTTGAAGGACCTACATGGCTTTGGAATTATTTCATTGCAATTTTTCCTGGATGTGAGCAGTATTCCTTTATTACAGTATTCCAAAATTTAAAGCAGATCAGTGTCTGTCAACTTAGTATAGATTTAAATGCAAACTATGGCAAGACTGTGTTGATTTCTTACACTACAGTTGCATCCTATTCATCATGAAGAAAAATATTATTTAAATATTATATAACTGCTATCAAAATGCACTTAATATGACTTGAAAATTTTTTGAATCAAGTGTCATTTGTTTAAAGAAGACAATATACATGACCCTCTTTTATCATTTAATATTGTCTTATTCAGTTCTCTTTGATATAGCATCTTTACAAACTATATATTTGAAAGTATAATTTTATATTAGAAGCAACATTTCTCTTATGAGTTCCATAAAAACAACACCAATGTCCATTTTAGGATAAAGGAGAGAG